AACTCAAAAAAAAAAAAAAAAATTATATATATATATATATAATATATAGAATATATATATATATATATTCTCTTTTATGATACAGCAATTCAACTTCTGGGTATATGTCCAAAAGAATTGAAAGCAGAGGCTTAAGATATTTTTACACACATGTTCATATCAGAATTACTCACAACAATCAAAAGGCAGAAGCAACCAAAGAAAACATCAGCAGATGAAGGGATTAACAAGATGTGATAAACCCATGCAATGAAATTATTATTCAGCTATTTTTAAAAAATGCAGTACTGGCCAGGTGCAAGGGCTCAGGCTGCCATCCCAGCACTTTGAGAGACCAGAGGATCCCCAGGAGGCCAGGGTACTTACTGTAGTAAGCCATGGTTGTACAGCTGTATTCCAGCCTAGGTGACACAGCAAGACCATGACTAAAATAAATAAATAATGCAGTACTGATACATGCTATAACATAAACAGACCTTGAAAACGCTATGCTGACTGGATGCAGCAGCTCACACCTATAATCCCAGCTCTTTAGGAGGCCAAGGTGAGAGGACTGCCTGAGCCCACGGGTTCAAGACCAGCCTGGACAACTTGGCGAGATCTCATCCCTACAATAAATCAAAAAATTAGCTGGGCATGGTGGCGCATGCCTATAGTTCCAGCTACTTGGAAGGCTAAGGTGGACGGATCACCTGAGCTCAGCAGGTCGAGGCTGAAGTGACCAGGAGTGTGCCACTGTACTCTAGCCTGGGTGACAGAGCAAGACTCCAACTCAAAAGAAAAAAAAAGAAAAAAAAAACACTATGCTAAGTGAAAACACCAAACACCAACACCAAGATACAAATACTACATGATTCCACTTACATGAGGTCCCTAGAGTTACTGAATTAGGTAGAATGGGGTTACAGGGGCTGGGGAGTAGGATTGGAAGTTGTTGTTTAATGGGGACAGAATTTCAGTTTGAGAAGGTAGAGTTCTGAAGATCATGGTGGTACGGTTGCACAACAATGTTGATGTGCTAAGTAATCCAGAATTGTGCACTTGAAAACACTAAATCTCATATCAAGTCTATCTTTTTTTTCTTTTTTTGAGTTGGAGTCTCACTCTGTCACCCAGGTTGAGGCTGGTCACCGCAGCCTCGACCTGCTGGGCTCCGGCGATCTTTCTGCCTCAGCCTTCCAAGTAGCTGGAACTACCACGCTCGGCTAATTTTTGATTTATTGTAGAGATGAGGTCTCGCCAAGTTGCCCAGGCGGGTCTCGAGCCCACAGGCTCAGGCAATCCACTCAGCTCGGCCTCCCAAAGTGCTGGGATTACAGGCTGAGCCACTGAGCCCGGCTCAAGTCTATCTTACCATAAGCCTTTTTTTTTTGAGTCAGAGTCTCACTCTGTCACCCAGCTGGAGTGCAGTGGCACATTCACGGCTAACGCAGCCTTGACCTGCTGGGTACAGGCAATCCTTCTACTTCAGTCTTCCAAGTAGCCGGAACTATAGGCATGCACCACCACGTCTAGCTAATTTATTTATTGTAGAAATGAGGTCTCACCATGTTGCTCAGGTTGGTCTTGAACCCGTGGGCTCAGGCAATCCTCTTGCCTCTGCCTCCCACAGTGCTGGGATTACAGTTACAATGGTAACAGGAGGGGTGGCAGTAATACAGCAGGACATGACGGGCCACACAGAAGAGATTCTGCCGAGTCTAGCAGGGAAGGTCTCTCAGAAGAAATGACTCTATTTGATTAGATATAAAACTACTACCTGTTGACATAACTGAGATACTGCCATGCATTTTTCTTGCTCTTACCGGATGAAATATGTCCGTTCAAACACTCCCCTACTTTGTCCAAACCAGAAGTCAGCAAATGGAAGGGCCAGGTGGTAGACCCTGAAGGTGTGAGGGCCCCCCCACCCCTGTTCCCATGAGAGTGGCTAAGAGCAGACAGCTGGGTGCCTGGAAACTTCACTGACCCAAAGAGTGGCCCACAGGGGCTTGCTGATCCCTGTTCTAAATAAGCACTTCAGAATCAATCCCTCAGCATCCTTCTGAGGCCTCCGCCAGGGGTGGTGGGTGGGGCCTACGTCCTCTTTGGCTGTGACTCCTCAAAGTTAAACTCTCCCATGCATGTGCTGTCTGGGTGTAGGAGTCACCTGGGCATCCCAGGTGAGAAGCCAAGATCCTGACCACAGAAGCTAACCCAATCTGCCTCACAAAGGCCAACACCCAAAGCACCTCAGCCCTCACCTTGTGGAGCCCTTTGAACTCATAGCGCCTGTCCCGGAAGGCGCGCACAGTGTCCACATAGAAGGAGTTTTCCCGCTGGCAGATGGTGGTGAGGCGCTCCTCCACCTTGGTGACGTGGATCTTCTTGTAGGCTTTCCGGCAGTAATCTAAGTACAAGTGAGAGCAGCGGAGGGGAAGTGAGCCCTTCCAGACAAAGAAACAGCAGGGATACAGAAATGCTGAGGAATAGCGTTTTCTACATTAACACCAAGGAGTAAAGGCTCAGACACGCTGCTAGTTTATCAAAGAAGGACAGCCCAGGTACGAACAGCCCACATCCACATCCACCGAGGCCACAGGACAGAAGCTCCTGACACCGGCTGAAGGAGAAGCAAAGGAAGGAACCTTACAGAGAGCAAGTCCACAGCCATCAAGGGCAGGGTCGGTCTGCTCATCAGCAACTCTGCCTACCCCAGGCTGACAGGCCAGCATGGACCAGTGAGGGCAGAAGTCCGAAGCCACAGCCACACCCAGTGCTCACCTGCCAGCCTCCTCTTCTCGTATTTAGCCTGTTCTTCACGGGACAGCTCATGAAAGGCACGAGCTGGCTGCTCTGGGAACAAGGGAGGAAACTTCTCTGACTCCAGTTGGTGCTGGATTCTATGGTATTCACTGCGACTGGCCGGCACTGGAACAGAGGCAACAGGAGTAGGGTAAGAGGACACACAAACCAGGCGTGGTGGCTCACCCTGTGATCCCAGCACTTTGGGAGGCCGAGCTGGGAGGATCCCTTGAGCCCAGGAGTTCAAGACCAGCCCGGTAACTTAGTGAGACCTCATCTCTATTAAGATTTAAAAAAAGGAGACACAGACCACCCACTTCCTGCTGAGTGCCAGCCCAGGAGGCCTAACTCACTGTACTCGCCCCTCCACTGCCAGGCCATCTTCCGCTGGCAGTTCGCTCCAGGCTTATTGAAGTCACAGGCAGCACAGGTAGCCTCATCCACCATGGCAGAGGGCTGCAGGGGTGGGGGTGGGCAAGAAAGCACTTAGGCACGGGAAGAGAGAGCTCCGACTCCGGCGCAGGGAGGAAAGCCCCACCTGCAGGCGGTTTGTCAGGATGATGTTAGGGTACATGGCTCCCACGTCCAGGTGGTAGATTAGCGGACACTCGATGCGGGTGGGAATGTCTTTCAGGGAGGTAAGTTTCGTCTTAATCTGATCACACACCTGCAGAGAAAGGAGACAAAAGTGAAGGCTGGTGACCAAGAAAAGAACTGGAAACTGCACAGAGTGACCAAGACAGCACCACAAGTCCCAGGGATGGTATGACGGCCACCACACCCAGGGCTGGGGTCCACAATGCTGGCAAGAAAGAGCAGAGCCCCGAGGAGAGCACCCACAGAGGCAGCAGCCTCTATCCTAGAAGAACCACGGAGGTCGGGAGAAGACTACAGAAGACAGTGTGTGACTGCAGCCACCCAGACTGGGGTTCCCACATGGCATGGCTGGAAAGTGAAAGTGGTAACCTGCCAGCAGGCAAGTTCAGAATCTGACCAGACCACCAACAGCCACTGCCACTGTCCTCTGGAGTCTAAGTGCTTTCTTGCCCACCCCCACCCCCTGCTGCCCTCTGCCATGGTTGATAAGGCCATCTGTGCCACCTGCAACTTATTAGAGTGATGTGGTGTGCCCACGTAGTGCCTAACGGCTGAGAAGCCTCAAGAGGTTGGTATGGCATCGGGTGACAGGTCTTTCTGGTCCAAACCCCAGGCTCTAAGCTGCTGTGCTGGGCTGTTTCCAGCATGACTTCAAAAACCCATGGTGAAACTTCTATTTCCAGTAACAGGTTCGCATAAAACCCTCCCAATATCAAACACCTGGACGTCGTTTATAAAATACCAACACTATACCCGTAAATGCAGAACTGACAACAAGGAACAATCCCCAGAGTGCAAAAGCAACAAGCAGACTCAAACCCTGAGCAGCGGGCTGGCTTGGTGGATGCTTGGGTGGAGGTGGGGAACTTCCTCCCAGCTGAGAGCACTTGCTGGGAGGATCACATGAAGCACAACCACCAAGGGAGAAAGCATAAGGGATGGCTGGGGGAGTCAGGCACAAGCTTCCAGGCCTCTCCCTGTGGAGTCACACGGGCATAACTAATCCCTACAGCAAACTGTGACACCTCACACGAACCGCCGTCTAGCAGGAAAGCTCGAGACCCAGAACCCAGGGTTTCATTGAGGCTGGGGACATGGGCACCTCTGCTTGGCACATACCCAAACTCTGGGCCCTCAGAAGGAAGCAGGCGCTCAGCTCCAACCTCAGTGTCTACACAAACAATGAGGAGCAGCAAGCTGTTCTTAGCAGAAAATGACAGAAACCACTCAAATCCCCGGCCCCCAAGCTCCAGCCTTGCACACAGACCTGAGGATCGAGTCAGGGACCTGCATTTCAAACCCCTTTCTCATGCCTCCTCTGGGAGAAATAGCCCACACACAGCAAGGGAGGAAGCACAGCCCTCAAACAAAGGTAGGACCCCTAAAGGCCACCTCCTCCATAAGAGAATAGATGACAATGCGTTAGCGCACCAAAACAGCATCGGAATGAAGAAAAAAGTCTTCCCTCGGCATCCCTGCCAGGTCTGTGGCTTTCACTACAATGTCCACATGGCGGGGGAGCCCTCAAGTCAAGGAGCCGAAAGAAAAGGGACCCCAGGACAGGGATGATCCTGGAAAACCAGGTATAACAACAAAAGTTGACGGGGCACAGTGGCTCATGCCTGTAATCCTAGCACTTTGGGAGGCAGACGAGAGAATTGCCTGAGCTCTGGGGTTAAGACCAGCCTGAGCAACACAGCGAGACTTCGTCTCTATGGTAAATCAAAAAATTAGCTGGGCATCGTAGTGCATGACTGTGGTTCCAGCTCCTTGGAAGGCTGAAGCAGAAGGATCACCTGAGCCCAGCAGGTTGAGGCTGCGGTGGTCGTGAGTGTGCAGCCCAGGCAACAGAGTGAGGCTCTGACTCAAAAAAAAAGCTACCTAGGACTTTCAGCAACCTGCATGGGACTGTACAATTCACATTCCAACACCACAGGACATGGGAAGGAAACACCCCCCATGGCCAAGAGCAGACATGCAGGAGAGACCACAAGACTTCAGACAAGCCTGGCTCGGTGACTCAGCCTGTAATCCCACGCCTTTGGGAGGCTGAGGTGAGTGGATGGCCTGAGCCCCCGGGTTTGAGACCCGCCTGGGCAGGCGAGGCCTCATCTCCACAATAAATCAAAAAATCAGCCGGGCGTGGTAGCGCACGCCTGTAATTCCGGCTACTCGGAAGGCTGAGGCAGACGGATCGCCGGAGCCCAGCAGGTCGAGGCTGCGGTGGCTGCGAGTGCCACTGCACTCCAGTCTGGGCGACAGAGTGAGACTCCAACTCAAAAAAAAAAAAAAAAAGACTTCAGACATTCAAACTCTTGAATCCAACACACTAAATGAGCCTCCTTAAAAGTACTAAAGACTGGCCGGGTGCAGTGGCTCAAACCTGTAATCCCAGCACCTTGGGAGGCTGAGGCAAGAGGACTACCTGAGCCCAGGGGTTCAAGACCAACCCAGGCAACTTGGCAAGGCCTTGTCTCCACAATAAATCACAAAATCAGCCGGGGGTGGTGGCATGCACCTGTAGTTCCAGCTACTTGGATGACTGAGGTAGAAGAATTGTCTGAGCCCAGCAGGTCAAGGCTGCAGGGGCCGTGAGCATGTCACTGCACTCCAGCCTGGGCGACAGAGTGAGACTCTGACTCCAAAAAGAAAAAAATACTAAAGACAAAAATCTAAAACACAGGAAAAGAAAAGGATCTGAAAAAAGTACCAACAGAGCTTCTAGAAATTAAAAAATTGTCCTAAGAAACACAGAACAGTCGCTGAAATTTGTACGGTTAAAGCTAAGCAGGCTTCTGAGTTGTATATTGCCTTGCTGATGAAGGGGTGAGGTGTGCCCCTTCCTCTCCCACCAGATTCCTCCTACTGCCAATCCCACATCCCACCTCCCCCGGCAGTTTCCTCCTACTGCCCATCTTTTACTTCTAGTATTACGTTAATTGTCCAAGGTCCGCTTATGAGCGAGAACATGTGATTCTCAGTTCTTTGTTTCTGTGATAGATCACTCAGTATTATAGAGAGTCGCATATTTCTACTCATTCCTCAAACATAGCACCTTACTGAATCAAGCTGGTACAGTGTTCAGGTAAATAATCCCAGCACTTGGGAGGCGGAGGCAGGAGGACTGCTTGAGCCCAGAAGTTTGAGACAAGCCCGGGCAACATATCAAGATCTCCTCTACTAAAAAAAGATTTTAAAAAATTAGCTGAGCCGGGCTTGGTGGCTCAGCCTGTAATCCCACGCCTTTGGGAGGCTGAGGTAAGTGGATTGCCTGAGCCCGCGGGTTTCAGATCCATCTGGGCAACTTGGCAAGACCTCATCTCTACAATAAATCAAAAATTAGCCGGGTGTGGGAGCGGGTGCCTGTAGTTCCAACTACTTGGAAGGCTGAGGCGGAAGGATCGCCGGAGCCCAGCAGGTCGGGGCTGCGGTGGCTGGGAGCGGCCACTGCACACCAGTCTAGGTGACAGAGTGAGACTCCAACTCAAAAAAAAAAAAAAAAAATTAGCCGAGCATGGTGGCATGCATCTTAGTCCCAGCTACTGCAAGATGGAAGGATAGTCTGAGCCCAAGAGTTTGAGGCTGCAGTGAGCAGTGATTGTGCCACTGCACTCCAGCCTAGGGGACAGAGTGAGACCCAATGCAGAAGAAAAAAAAAATCAGGTATGTGCTTTTCTGAGAAATTCATTTTGTACAAAATGTGTGCAACATCAAGAAACAATAATGAAAATATAAATTTTTTAATTGGGGTCTCACTGTCATCCAGGTTGGAGTACAGTAGTACAATTACAGCTCACTGCAACCTCAAACTCCTGGGCTCAAGTGATCGAGACACCTCAGCATGAGCCACTACACCTGGCTAATTTTTAAATTGTTTGTAGAGCCGGTGTCTCGTTACGGTGACTAGTCTGGTCTCAAGCAATCCTCTTACCTCCACCTCCCAAAGTGCTGGGATTACAGGTGTCAGCCACCGTGCCCAGACACAATACCAAAATTTGAAAACTACTATATTTAGGTGTTGATCTATACTATTCATTAGAAAAATTAACATATTATATGGGCATTCTTAAACAAATTGGCTAAACATTTTTTAAAAGCCTTTAGTTCTGGGGTTAACAAGCTTCCATTGTAAGGAACCAGATAATAAATATTTTAGGTTTTATAGCCACACGTGATCTGTTGCATATTCTTTGATTTTTTTTCTTAAATGCTTTGGAAAGGTAAAAACCATTCTTAGCTTGTTGCCTATGTAAAAATAGACCTCATGTGCTGTTTGCCAACTTCAGTTTACACATTTCAGAGTAGAAAAAACTGAATAAAATTTAAATAGAGGAAAAAAATTAGCCAGAAAAGTTAAGCAGAAGGGTAGCCATTGTTTTAACGAAATATATTAAATTTGTTAAAGTCTCACTAGTAAGTCACTTGAACATAAAACTGTCCTTGGTATTTAAAAAAATACTTGCCATGCACAGTGGCTCATGCCTGTAATTCCAGCACTTTGGGAGGCCGAGGTGAGAGGACTGCCTGAGCCCACAGGTTTGCCTGAGCCCACAGGTTCAAGACCAGCCTGTGCAACATGGCAAGACCTCATCTCTACAATAAACCAAAAAATAAGCCGGGTGTGGTGGCATGTACCTGTAGTTCCAGCTACTTGGAAGGCTGAGGTGGAAGGATGGCCTGAGCCCAGTAGTTTGAGGTTACGCTGGCTATGAGCGTGCCACTGCACTCTAGTCTGGGCAACAGAGTGAGACACTAACTCAAGAAAAAAAAAAAAAAAAAAAAAATATATATATATATATATATATATATATATATATATATATTCTCACCAGGCATCCCAGCACTTTGGGAGGTAGAGGCAAAAGGACTGCCTAAGCCCAGAGGATCAAGACCCGCCTGGGCAACTTGGCAAGACCTCATCTCTACAATAAATAAAAAATTAGCTGGGTGTGGTAGCACGTGTCTGTAGTT